TTATTTGAATTAATGGCATATTTTATTTGCGCATATTTATATAACTAATTAACTTTAATGTTTAAAGAATATTTCAGTTTTAACATTTTTATTTATTTGTTTTCCAAATTTTTATTTTCTGTTATTATATGTCTATCTTTTATTATGTAGTTGTATTTAACAATTTGTATTATCTCTTTAATTTGTGCGCAATACCTTATTATGAGTGATGATTGATGAACTGTTTTATTTGCTAGTGTGTATTTTAAAATCATAGATTACATTTTCTTTATAAAGGAAAAATAATATATTTCTACTTTTTAGATTTTATATTATGATGTATTTATTAAGATATCCATAATTAAGTTATGTTTCTTTTTTCCAGACGTTTGATGTTAATCGTGCTATGATTCATATCAAATTTGTCAGAATATGTATTCAAAACAATTTATAATTTATTGATAACAACTTTCTTATTTCTCATTATTAAACAAAGATTACCCAAGATAACGTTTAAAAACATTTTATTTGAAGGAATATATTTATCTGCACTTTATAATAACAGAGCGATTATTAAAAATAAAGGAAAACATCTGTTATTGATAATATTTGTTTGACATATAATAAAAAGAATTAAAAATACGATATGCCTTCATAACATTACTATGCTTTGTATTATTAACAAATGGTATAGAATTTCATGTTGTAAAAAATATTGAATATATAAAACATCAGATGTGTCGAGAACATTATATAATTATTAAAATAATAAAATGAAAAATTTATAATAACAAATATTGATCTTATTTTGCTAAATAACAACAATATTTTTATTACAGAATTTATAGTAAAATTAAATAAAAAATAAGTAATACTATAATAATTAATAACTTTTTTGTAAAAAGTATTAAAATATATAAATTTATTATTAAGTAAATATATAAATTTATTATAAATGTGAAATTACACTATTAGAATTTGTTTTAATTAAAAACTTTTTACAAATTCTAACTTCTAATAAAATGTCTTGTTATTAAATAAAAAGTTGTGTATAGCAAAGTAAATAATATGATATTTAAATTTACTTGTTATTGATATTTAAATTTACTTGATGTGCATTGATTTCCAAGCAATCTGCACTTTTCCGATATTGAAATTTTTTATCTTATCTAATCCTTTATTAACTGACTTTTCTAGCAAGATTTAAGATAACTTTGATATATAAATCTGCTAACTAGCTAGGTATTCGAATGTCTTTGTGCTCATCAACAGCTGTCGTGGTAAGTAAAAACATAGTCTCTTATAAAAAGATTACATATGCATGAAAATAAAATAACGGATAAATAAAATTACATTTTTTAACAAAAATAAATTGCATAATAATTATGAAAAACATCTTAATTAAATAATAATTTTTATTTTTTTTTTATTATTCTTATTATTACTTTTTTAAAGTAAATCATATATAAAATAATTGTAATTTAAAAAAAATAATGTATTTTTAAAAATAATTCTTTTTTTTTACATCAAAATTTATACACATAAAATGTTAAATTTTAGTACAATACAAAAAATTTAATTGTAACATACTTAATTCTACATACTTAATACTCTTACACGTGAATATATTACAGATGAAGTATATATCAGCGCTATTTGCTGCCTTGACCATTATCGGTCTTGGACAAGCTCATCAGTTCCCGGATTTTGGCAATGGTCCTGTTCATGAGGATTTCCAAGACTTTTTGGACTTAATTCCTTATAAAGAAATTCAAACCATCGTTTTGGATTACGTATTAGGAGATTCGGAAGTACAAAAAGCTGTTAGTTATCTTAAAACTTCGACCGTATTAAAAGACCTGATGATAAATTTGGAAGCTATTCCTGAAGTGATTAACATTCTAAATTATTTGCAAAAGGAAGGTGTCGATGCTTATTCATTAGTAAATAAAGCTAACGATGCTCTCGGTATCGATAGGATCACACCACCTCCTCGTTTATATTCCTTGGTCATACAGAGGACTGGTGGGATTGCAGGACTCATCAAAGATATTACGGATGTGATTCCTATTGCCAAGATCATTCGTACTTACGTGCAAAAGATGAAAACTTCTTCAGCTTTCGTCGGTTTTGTCAATCAACTTAAGTCAGACAATGCTCAGCAGGCCGTAAACAAAGTCTATCAAATTAAATCCTTGCAGATCATTTTGAATGGACTCAAAAGCAGCGGAGTGAATACGCAGGTTACAGCTGACGTCATATATATTGTCCTCGGCCTTAACGTACCGAACGATGTTACTGTTTACCAAGAACCTACGCTGGAAGACGAATTGATGGATTTTGTGGATCTTCTTCCGGTTGATTAGATTATTGAGTTAATTTAAAGTATAGAGCCGAAGATGAAAAAGTACAGCACTCTCTGCAATACTTGCAGACACCAAAATTCCATACCAGTTTGTGCGATCTTGAAGCTCTTAAAGAATATCAAGCATTAGTAGTATATCTAGAGGAAGCTGGATTGAAAATGTTACTGATCACATCAAAACATTTCATAAGGCTATTGGCATGGAGGATTATGTACTGCCTAAAATAAAAAGCATTTTCAAATCTCAAATTGAAATACAAAAGATTGGTGATGGGATAAAAGGATTGTTGGAGGATCTTTATAATTTAATACCTTTTGATAAGGTTCAAGCTCTTTGAATGAGAAATTGCAGAATTCCAAGGTCTTTGTCGATTTCGAGAAGATAAAATCTCCGGAAATGTAGAAATTAATCAATCTGTATGTAAATCAAACTTTAAAAAATTTTGTGACGGAGGCCAAAATAAATGGATAGGAACTTTCGGAACTGACAAAATTTTTCACTAGAATATTTGGTTTTAAATTCCGACATATTAAAATACATGTCATATTTTATAAGCGTATATTTTAAATATATGTTTTTTTATATCATTATTATATGAGTCTCAAATGCCGAAGATTCTTACATCGCTTCTTACATCGCTTTGATTTTAAAGCGATAATAAACTTTAGTCTTTAGTTCAATATAATTTCCTTAATGTTCCTTTCCTAATGTAATAGATAATTTTCTTCTTCAACTACTTATTTCTGTATTGCATTTTATTAAAATTACTTTTATGCCACAACAAAGTAATTTGTCGTCGATGCAAGCGTTTACATTGTTTCTATGTATTACCATCTATATGTTGGGTTAATACAAATCATATGATGTTAAAAAATTTATATACTCTAATTAAATTTAGTAGTAGTATTCAGCTTAGCAATATAAATATATAGAAAATTTATTTAAAAAAAAAAACATGTCTTTAAGGAATACGCTTTAGTACAAAAAAATCAAACTTAAATACTTTATTGTTTTGCATTTTAATTTATCAAGAGTTAACTCAAAGTCCACAATGTCGAATCATATTACGTTACCATTCTGAAATTCTTTCTAATCAATAACATTTAATATTCCCATTTTTTGCAACAATATTACTGTTTTGAAAGATTAATTGATTCCGAACTCTCTCAGTAAAAAAACTCGAGTATCATCATTATATTTTTTGTTAATACGCCTAAAGTTTCTCCGATCATAAGAAATCAATGTACAATAAATGATATTCGTGCCTGTTTAATAAATATAAAATGATGTTACGCAGGTGGTACTAATTTAAAACAAGAAATTAAAGAATGCCTGAGTGGGTATATAATTTTTTTGTACTGAAGATAAAAAAAATATCTTTAATTGCGAGATAGGTACTCTTAGACACAAAGAAAACAAAATTGCAGAAACGGCAGAAGGGAGAGTATAAGGGCCGGTGCTTTCCTAATTAAAATTGTTACAATTTAATAAGCCTCGGAACTCATCATTGGCGCGTCGTAATGGGAAATCGTGAGAAGAATAAGTGAGATAGAACGAGAGAGAGACTTCTAGAAGAAGAATGAGGAGAAATCGGACGCTTAAACGAGCGTCTTTAAGGGTTACGGACAAAGAGGCTGCAAAAGAGTGAGAGAAAGGGAAAAGAAAAAGACAAAGGGGAAGAAGTGCAAGGGCGCAGAGGAGAAATCTTCGCGATCTCTTAACTTTTCCACTCAATATGGAGCGCAAACTGTACTTTCTTTCTTGCAATATAACTCTCTTTATGATATAGCTTTTGCAAAAGGTTTAATGCGATTTTATGATTTTGCTTC